ATTTGTATTGTTAGATGGCATTAGTTTAGGTTCAGCTAACTTCATTAAAAATGATGACTTTGGATTTTCTTGTGATAGTTGTCATATTTTTGTTAATATCTTATCAAAACTAACACATTTATTGATTCTAACACAGAAGATGAAAGAAAATAAGCAACATTTTCAATGTCTAATGCTTTTTTTTGTATCAAGAAAGACAAAAAATACAACTCATGTTGTTTATGGAGAAGGTACAGTAAATGATTGAATGTATCAAAAATGGTTAGCAAAATTTTGTGCTAGATATTTCTTGTTGAACAATGATATGTTGATTAAATTGTGAGATTATTTGGGAACAATCAATGTTATATTGTAATAGGGAAGTGGGTTTAATTGAGCCACACTAGTGCATGGGGAAGTGCGTAGGGAGTTGAGGTATTGAGAGACTTGATAATTCTGAGTGAAGGAGTAGAGATATTAGAGGGAGAAAAATATGAGAGTCTGATGGGAAAAAGTCTAGTTTAAAAATATTAATTTAAACCCATAAAATACTTATAAGGACTAAATATAGATGTAAGATGCCATGGTAATTATTAGAATGAAAAATAGCACTGGTACACCAAATATTTGATAATCTAAATATTTTGGTCTTTACAGAATTTTCATCATGAAAATAGTTTCAATGTCACTGGAAGACTGCAAAAGGCAGCTTGAACAGTTTTTTGCTCAGAAAAAAAAGTTCTGGAACAGAATTATGAATGAAGATGGTAAATAGTTTGTTCCATTAAGTTGTTCTTAAAAATAAAATTAATGACTGGTTCCTGTCAAAGTTGACTATGCCTGTAACAATTTTGAGTTATTATTGCCTATCAGTATTTTTTTTAATCAGTATCACCCCATGCAAGGCAGTAAAGCCACTAAGACACAAGAAATTAAAGGGTGTGGAAGAATTGGAAACAGAAACATTAATAATGAGCAGAAAGAGAAAAGAGTAATCAGGAGGACAGTAGATAGCAATTGACATTGCATTTAAATTTTTGCAGATTAAAGTTGGCTGGAAAGCATGTAGCCAGAAGAGAGTTTCACATGTGAGAAGTGTGAAATTACGACTGCATCTAGCTCGCTCAACTATAAGTTGATTAGATCTCAATGCCAGTCTAATACTGCGCTTAAATTTTAAAAATCTAGGTACCATAGCAAAGAGCTATTCTGAACAATTACCATGAAAGTATTTATAAAAAGGTAGAGAGAGGCAACCTTATGGCGATGGGAATGTGACTGAAGCTTAGCTGCCAGATCAGGACCAATAATATTGCTGATTCTTCTTAGCATCTTACTAAGAAGCTCAACATAAATAGCAAGAGCACCGGACCATATGTGGCAGTAATATTCTTAGTATGGACGAATGGTAGACTTAGAAAAATTGTCTTGCATGACACAGTGAACCAACTTCCTTAGTAGCTAACCTAGCAATGGATTCAATATAGTCTTTCCACTTCATGTTAGCTGAGAATATGACTATTACAGGGATACCATCAGGTCCACATGCTTTGTGTGGATCAAGGTTAGAGATGATACTCCAGATGAGTCAAGAGTAGAGTTTAAAGAAAATTTATGAGCAAAGCATTCAGCTTTATCAGCAGAGGATGTTATGGGGAAGTGGTTTGTACAAATGCATCTATATTTGGTCACAAGAAGTCCTAATGGATGGTACCCAACCATTTTGAATATCTTGAGACCCAGCTGTGCAGCCTTCATCAATCAGAAGGTACCTTGCTGTATATGTGTGAGTACCCGCCTTTACAGTTACTCAGTTAGCAACAAGATGTAACTGAGTGAACAGTGTTACTGTTGCATTCAACATGACAATATACCTGACTGACCATTCTTCAGGTCTTGTGCAGGATAGTTAGGCTTAATAGTACTTCCCCCAGGTATACTAGCCCACACCTACTATTAAGATTTGGCTCCCTGTGGTGTCTGCTTTTTCCCAAACCTAAAATAAATCATCATTAAAAGATAAATTCTATACCATGGTCGAGATTAAGGATAATACAATAAGGCAGCTGATGGCAATCCTGAAAAAGGATGGGATGGTGAGCTCCCAAGAGGAATACTTTGAAGGCTATTGCTTTATGTAGGCTATTGTTTTGATAATATATAATGGTTGCATGCTTTCTGTGCAGACCTAGAATATATTGGAGAGAGAGGGTGATATCATCTTACATTTACAGCCCTCTTCCCTTTCCCTCCTCTCACACCCCACCTTGCTTGGGATGGTGCTTTTTACTTTGTAACCCTCTACCTTGAGTGTCTCTTGGGCCTTGTATAGGGTGAACATGTTTGTGTATATATATATATATATATATATATATATATATATATATATATATATATATATATATATATATAAGCTAAGTGACAAATTGTAATTATATTAATCCTCTCTCTTTCTCTGTATATAATATATATATATTTATATTATGTGTGTGTATATATATATATATATATATATATATATTATATACAGAGAAAAGAGAGGATGTATATATATATATATATATATATATATATATATATATATATATATATATATATATATACAGAGAAAGAGGGAGGATTAATACAATTAATTCTGTAGTTTTGTGCATGAACATTATTATTCAGGAGGTTTCAGCATTTGACTGGCATTTTTCTCATTTTTCATTATTTTTAAACTAGTTGGGATCAGTAATGTACAGAACAAGGAGAAGTGGGTGTGACAGCCCTGGGCATCCATATCAGGAAGGCATCCAATCAAACAGTGAAATAAAAAATTTAGTTTATATTTAATTTGAAGTGTTTATTTTATATTTCATCTGTTTTTACATATTTAAAATGTTTTTCTTTTCTCACATTTCATATTACTAGTCCCTATAGACCACCCACACCTTACTTGATTCTTAGGGGCATACAATCAAGGAGTTGCGCCCGAGCATCACCAAACCCGCATGTCACTGATTGGGATGTGCTAGTTTGGATACTCTTATTATTGGTGTTAGGTTGATTTTTTTCTCTTTGTGTGTGTGGGTTTGTCAAATATGATTATTTCTCTTTTTCATCATTTTATTGTCTCCTTACACTCTCTCACTATTCATTTTTCTTCTTTTTCATTTTTATATATATATATATATATATATATATATATATATATATATATATATATGAAGAAATATAATTTATGATGTGCCATGTTTATGGGATAAAGTGCTCAATATTAGAGATAGAGCATATGTAAATATAAAAGTGAACATTGAAGTCAACACTCCAGAGGTGACAGGCTGTTTCATGCTAGATGCAATTGTCAGGCCTGACGATTGCATCTAGCATGAAAACAGTCTGTCACCTCTGAGTGTTGACTTCAATGTTTATATATATATATATATATATATATATATATATATATATATATTATAGCAATAAAAAGGTTAGACTTATTTTACTTTTCATGATCAAAAAGAAAACTGAAAAATAAAACAAACACAGCCAACTGTTTTCACCCTCACTCAACAGAGCTGAATTGAGGGATTATATATTGCAAGAAAATAAAACATAAAAACGATATGTAATATTAATGAAGGCAGAATACAATTTAAATTGAAATCATGTTTAGTCCTAACAGACACTTTCTCTGTTTACAGAGGGAGGGCTGTCTGGACTGAACATAAATTGTTTCCAACACCTTTATCTGCAATATAGAGTGAGCACAACTCAACATGTTAAACAAGTCAATGCTAAAGTTAGCGGTACAATTTGGGTTTTTAATAAGATGCTCCGCGATGGAGGAACCATATGTGTTGTTCAAAAAAGTAATCATAATCATGAAAAGTAAAATAAGTCTAAGCTTTTTTATTGCTATAATATATAATATACATTTTTTTTTAATCATTTCACCCCAAGCAAGGCAGAAGTGCCACTAGTACACAAGGAGCTACAGAGAGTGTAAGTAAGAAAAAGGACTGTATATAGGGGGTGTTTGAGGAAATGATAAAATGAAGAATGGAGGAAAATAAAAAAAAAAGAACTAGGATCAAGGCAACAGAAGATGTCAATTGACATTACATTTAAATTTTTGAAGATTATATTTATCAGAGAAGCAAGTAAGAGGAAGGGTGTTCCACTGTCAGGAAGTGCAAGAGAAGAAACTGTTGGAGTAGAAGTGGTGGTTACATTTAACCGTTTCAACAGTAAGAGTGTGAGACAACCTAGTAGCATGTTTAAATAGATTGTTGTATGTATGTAACATACTTGTTGATAACACAAATATAATAGCATCGTCTACATGTAAAAAGGCTGAAAATGATGGAAGCCTTAATAATAAAAACAAAAAAACCAACGCTCAATAATATCAACTATGAACATGGACATAATATCTTGACCGTGTTTTGAAAATGAAACATTATGTAAATACATACATACAACAATCTATTTCTGGTTAACAGTTAATATATTCCAACCTTGAAAATGGCTAAAGCACTTGGAAAAAAACATTTGGACAGTTTTTATATAATTTATCTACTGAAAAGAAAAAATTATAAGATCACATGAGAAATTATATAAAAAACTTAATCAAAGCACCTTGTCAGTAATATTTAATGAAACTTGCATATATATATATATATATATATATATGTATGTATGTGTGTGTGTGTGTGTATTATATTTCATGGATATATGTATTTAAGTGGATGTCTCTGTTTTTTAAACAGTATACTTGTGTTTACTGGCCTCAGATTTTTGAGTGTATAATAATGAAAATGTGGCATTCGGTAGCATTAAAAAATTGCCAATTTGCTGACCAAATCTCATTCTGAGTTAGTTTTATGAATAAAATTTGAATTTTCTACAAAATTGGATTTATCTTTAGAGGATTTAATAAATCATGATTAACTTTTTGCTTTTATATCTTATACAAAATTAAATGATGTCAAAATTTATACTTATTTCCAACATGAAGAACTCCACAAATCATTATCTCTTACCTTGCCATTGTTTACAATGGGTTTTTCATATCGGAGTCCCCCAACCAGCCCCACAGGCCAAACAGACACAATCTTTGTGTCTCGCATCTGAAAGAGAAAAATGATTAATTTTGTATATATAAAAAATTAGCAGGAAAAATGACAAGTATACTATTTTGATGTATTTATAAAAATATTTATTTTAAATTTTTATTTTAAATTATATATAAATTTGTGGAATAATCCATGTTATCCTTTCACCCCTTTCAGAACAATCCATTTTACACCCACGTACCTTCCATCCAATCAGAACTCCAATTTTAGCAAGCTCAGTTTCTCATTGGTCAAAAGCCTCAAAAACTGTAATATTCATGTGAAAAATCTTTTTGGCGCTCGATTGTCTCTGAGCCTAAATTTTCTCTCCCAAATCTATAAATAAAGAATTTCTAACCATTTCAAGCAGTCAGACCTCCACACCTAGAGAGATGCCCATCAATTCCATGCCCGTCAAAACTCTGACTTTGCCGCACAAAATATTCTCTGACTCAGCAACCTTCGGGCACACTCTATCTCTCTCTAGAACATTTCTCAAACTTCACTTACTATACTTTCAAAGTGATATTTCTCACTACATAACAAGTATCAGTAACTAACAATCTATTTTTCTCATGCAGTTAAAGGTACGCAACTTTGAATATATGTATAAACACACTTACGTAACGATTCAACCTCAATACCAAACATTTTTTGTATGTGATCAAACAAACAGTTTAATTCTGTGAACAAATCCAATCAATGAATAAATTTATTGAAACAAAACAAGTTCAATTGACCATTGATGACAATTCCAGAACAACGTAACTATAAACAAATTTTTTCTATCCTCTGTCAGCTTCAATGATGGAGAAAGCATTACCTCGAACCATGGCCAGTGAGACACGCTGCAAGAGCCACTCCATTTCGCGAGGCTCATCCCTTAATCGAGACGCAATCGTGCCAATCCTCCAAAAGAACGCCATTGAACAAGGGCCAATAATCCCTGAAGTCTCCACTGCCACAGGAGTAAAAAAAAATCTATCAGCAAGAGAAGAATATTTAACTATTTTTTCATCTCTGCATCCCAGTCAACGGATCTTGGCTCAACCGTGGAACTGATCAAATTACTGGCCGAAAATGTATCCGCACAGGTCGCATCCCAAATCAACGCCTTCCCCATTTTAAAAGGGAAAATGGTAATGCCATCCAGTCGCTTTCCATCACCACAGTTGAGGCCTACGGGTTCGATTTGGGAAGGGAACCCAGCTGCATCCAAAGCTCTTTTAATGATGTCGTTAATGGCCGCATGCCGTGGAAAGCGGCAGGCACTACAACAACAGGAGAGAGGATGCAATGAAGAAATACCTGCCTGTTCATGTATAGAATGAATTATTATTTGATTCATTCATTCATTTTATACAGCTTATCAACCCTTTGTAGATTAGTAAGTAAAAATAATAGCAATTGACAATGATTCGTCAAAAATCTTTGAATATTATTAGTTGCACTAATCAAAGAAATGTACCTCATAGTTTATGGTCACATGTAGAACATTTATTAGACAATGCAAAGATAATACTGTAGAAGTAAATTTTTTGCATTGAAATTATAATTAATTAAAAACAGAGGTCAGTATTAAAGTTTAGAACCTGTAAGTCAGCACTGGTTTTTAAATAAGACAGAAAATATTTTTAGATTATAAGAATTTTTTTTTTCCTTGATCTTAGTTTCTATATGGCTAAACTAACTCCCACTAGTAAGGTGCTGCTACAGAAAGGTATAATGGAGGTAAATAATAATACATCATGTTCAACAGTTAATATCACATGTCAGGTAAATAAGACTGTGTCCTGGTTACCATTGTAACAGGAAAGAGCTATGGATGAAAGGTTTATTTTCCCATTTGTAATTCCCCCATTGTGGGTTTATTATATCCATGATATAATAACATCATGATTCCTGGATGGAACAGAATGGCTGAAAGGAAAAGAAATGACAAACATGCTTTATTCTCAGAGAGGCGTTTATACCACTAAAACATACACAAAAACTATATATACATATATACACATGTCCCAAGCAGAGAATCATTATCTACACATCAAGCAGAGTATAAGGGGTGTTACGTGTTTATAATTGTAACAAAGGAAAAAAAATGATTTACCACAACACAGAGCTAAATCACAAACAAATATTTAATTTACTAAAACAGAACATAAAATATATACAGGATAAACAATTGTGGCCTACAAAAAAGAAAACACAGAGTTACTGGCGGAGTGTTACGAGGAAGAAGGAAAGGGAATCAAATATCTTTATCACTTTAGGGCTAGTGAGGTAATCTAAGTGCTATATTTGGAAATCCACAAAGGTGTGTAAATAAATATTAATTTTTAGTTTGGTCAATGAAAATTAGTCAAAATTCTATTTACCAAATTTGTTCCATGAAATTCTCTTTTGGGTTTTGGTTGGTTGGCAACTTTTTTATAGAGATTCTTTAGGCTGGATATAATAATCCTTGAATCAAAAAGCCGGAGTTGATACAGGCAACAATTTCCTTTCACCAACTGACAACCCTTTCCCAAAATCCCATTTTTATAGGGGCTAACGCCTAATTTGCATATTTCTAGATGTTTCTCGAATCCTCTAGATTTTCCTTGAATATACTAGAATGATCTAGACTCTTTGAAGCATTCTATTTCTAATTTCTCTATTTTACAACTACTTCATGAATGAAAACTTTTTTGTAATAACAAGTAGAACTCAGTGGAACCCCTTATTATAGAAATGCATCCTCGTAACAGGGGAAACAAAAAGGAAGGGTATTACATAATATATGGAGATTCTTCTGTGTTTCTGGAGAATCTATGTTTAGGACTCCAGATTTATCTATTATTTCCCAGGTGAGGACATGTTCTGTGAATGGGAAACAGCGAGTCTTTGGTTTTCCCAAATTGCTGACTGTTAGCCAGAGATTTCTATATTTGGGGAAGAGATATTCTCATAGGGAAATGGCACCATGAATTTGTAAACTGTAGCATTGCTGGAGGAGGCAGATTTGGCCCCTTGGCCCAGACTAAAAAAGCAACCACTTGATTTGGCTGCTGTAAACCAACTGAATGACCATTCTTGTCACTGTATGAAGTGACGTCATTAAGTGTTCGTTATGCGACTTATCACTACTAAAGGGAAATAATTGTGTTCTGTATCCCTAAAGGTATAAGAATAAAGAATGTGAAATCAAATCTTGCTGGGTGCTTGATTTTTAATCTGTGCTGCATGTTTAATAATTATAGAATGACAAAAGCAGTAGAAACAAAGACCACAAATTGTAGAACATTTATAATTACATATTTACAAGTCTACCCTTCATATCTGATCTGGTGCTTCTGTTATGTATATACACCCTGTCTGAAGTTATTAAGCATTTCAAATAAGCTTCAATAATTCAAATTTGGTTTAAAAAAAAATTGTCAAATTTCAAACAATCAATTTAGATATCAAAACAAAGACTGAATTTTAGATACTATCAATATGTTTTATTGAAGTTATTTGTTGTAGTCTAAAAGACTGCCATCTGAAGTTATCAGGCAAAACCAAATAATTGCATTTTACTTCAATAAAAGCTAAGAAAATCATAAAAAATTGACCAACATCTATATTAGAACAAATAACAAACACATAAGTCTTTGAATCCTTTACATTTTAATATAGCGACCCTTTTTCTCAATAACAGCCAGTAATCCATTGATTTTGTTAATTTTTTTACTTCGGCAGGTTCACTTTCTGACATGGTAGTTTTAATTGCTTCCCATATGTCTGATTTGCCATTATATTGTTTGCTACCTTCATATAATTTCGTCTTCACAATTGACCATAGATTTTCTCTCAAATTCAGAACAGGACTTGATGTTGGCCATTCCATTATTTTCTCTTTTGTAAATTTTTTATGCTGGTAAACTTAGAGGACATGAGAAAGAGCATTGTTGTGCATAAATACACACTTCATTTTGAAACTGTAAGACTGGGACTTGTACCATTCAAAAAAAGTCTTGGGACTTGTACCATGCAAAGAAAGTCTTGATTATAAAATCACATTAGTTAGCACTGTTCACTTTAACTGCTTCATCTAATTTGAATGATCTAATAATGGATTGGTTTACAATTCCAGCCCATATCATAACACTATCACCTCCTTGTTGCCTTTTTAACCACAGGAATGCCTGAATTGGATAAAATCCATCCTTTGGCCCATCCATCAGGTCCATCAAATGTCACTTGAGATTTGTCTGTGAAAATTACTTTAAAAAAGTCAATTTTCATGTATTTCAATTTTGACACTTTAAAATATTTGCTTTAGTGAAAGGAGGTTGCCCAGGAGATTTTTTCTACAGATCCCAATTCACAAAGTATTCTACACCTTTTGTCCATCTTTCTCTCAATTCCAGCCTTTTCAAAGATCTGAGCACTGGTCAAAAAGTGGCTGTTTTGCTATAACTTGCTTTAGTTTATGTTCATTTCAAGGAAATGAGTTCTTAAACCCTTTTCCTTTGCTTCAAGTTCTCAACTTAGTTATATTTTCAAAAGCCTTCTTTATCGTTGGATGAACTCTGCAAAGCTCCTTTGATATCTTCAATGTGGACATTCCCTCACTCAATAATATTTTTTGTTTTTCAGCAGTGGCTAGATCCTTCCCTTTACCCATGTTTCAAAATATATTATGGACAAAAAGAAAAAATAGTTTTTTATTACATTTCAATGGTCTTATTCTAATAGTAGTTTAATCTGCATATTAACTTCAGTCAGTGCATTTTTGTAAATTCCAAATATCTCAAAAACTAACCATTAAAAATGGCAGAAAATTTAGTTAAATATTTTACTAATGGTGGAAATGGATGAGTTTAAATTTGACAAATATTGGTTCAGAAATTTTTGAGTTATTGAGATTTATTTGATTTGCATAATAACTTCAGACTGGCTGTAGAAATTCTCAATAAAATCCAAAGAAGAATCTGCAATGTTATTGGCCCTGACTTGGCATCTCAGCTTCAGTCATTCTTCCACCACTGTAACAATAGCCTCTCTGTGCCTTTTCTATAAATATTTTCATGGTGATTGTTCTTATGAGCTTCCTTGGAACCTCGACTTTATGTATTTAAGTGAAGTACAGCTTGATGAAATGGCTATATGTAACCATAAATATTATGCTAGAGTGGCAAATTCTCTATGATACGGAAAACAGAAAAAAAAAACACAGAAATAAAGTAGAAAAATGAAAAACAGGATTTTTGCTGCTAAAATATAAAATATTCCACCAGTAAAATTCCTGAGCTGGAACTCAAAAGAATCATTAGTTTACATAAATTTGCAATACACAGTGAAGTCAGTTAAATTTTGGTATATAAAAATTTTAGTGCACTAATTGAATGTGCTCTCATGATGTCATTATTCATTAGATACAAGAACAGAATATTTTCAGTATTTATTGGTTGTGTAGTCTACCATTACCTGCTCTAATAATGTTTAATTGTAATAAATGTTTTATTATTATTCAGAGAATAGTAGTTTCATTTAAACAGTTGAAGTGAAGGATATACCAAAACTAAATACCAAAGAAAAGAATAAATAAAAAAAGACTTACTTCTTCAAAAAGCTTCAATGAATACGTATTATCATCGTCAGCAAAATAAACAACTCCCTTCTGTGTTTGAATGTCAATATTATTCCGTAACCAATGAAGAGCCAAGTTTCGTTGTAAGACACCCCGAGGTTTTAACCAGTTGGGATCTTTTGACTGCAGCTTATAATTGTCTGGAGTTTTTACATTTAGGTGAGTGTAATTAAGACTGCACTCACTTAAAAATTTAGATACTAATAATGTTTTTGAAGCTGAATCTTCCACTACAATCCAATGTAAATTAGGTACAAGCAACAAAGTCTGTGAGAGTCGGGTTAACTCAGCTTTTTGTTCAGGACGTGTGTGTGTTGGAGTGATAAGGAAGAGAGTGTTTCCTTGGGTTGGAGAGAATGATTTCTTTGCAGGTTGTGACCTCAAGATTGTTGCATTCCAAAGTTGTTGCTTCAGAAATGATATCTGCTTTGTCATCTCTTTGAGTTTTTCTTTATATGCCACCAATAATTCCTTCTCTTTAATCCATTCAGTTCTTGCCATCGTATCTGTACATGTCATTCCTATTGTTGCAGTGCAAAAAAATCAAAAGTAAAAGCAATGAATAAAACATCACAAAAATGTCTTATATCTAATTACATATATGTATAATGTATAATTATTATGTGTAATAATGGCCAGCTACTCATTTTCTGAGCACACCCATCTGTTAGAGCAGCTAACCAATTCCTGTTGTAGACTCCTGCTCAGGCAGATTTGTGTTTATTTAATACCTACAGAGCCCACCTGTGGTTTATACTGCAACTATGCTCACCAGACCAGTTTGGGGGCGAGAGCACATAATCTAGCATGGTCATCAGTTTAAACAATTCCAGTATGCTCAAACCTTCAGTCATAATGACTTGTGACTTTGTACTAGCACAACCATCAACAACTTCTAAACAGTTCTGTTTAACCAATTTCACTCACAAAGCTTGGGTCAACCAGTGTTATGGATTTCAGGCACTTTCCAAAGGTACTGCACACTGGGATCACAACATCAAGAAGTTAACCCCCTAACAAATTGACCATGGTGTTATTCAACTCTAGGGCTCATGGTTGGTAAACAAACATTCTAATTAGCCATGCACCTATATATATATATATATATATATATATATATATATATAAGTGAACATTGAAGTCAACACTCAAAGGCGACAGACTTTTTCATGCTAGATGAAATTGGTGGCCTGACAATTGCGGCTAGCATGAAACAGTCTGTTGCCTCTGAGTGTTGACTTCAGTGTTCACTTTTATATTTACATACGCTCTATCTCTGATATTGAGCACTTTTTCCCATAAATATAGCACACCTTAAAACTATGTTTCTTCTTTATATATATATATTGTGTATATTTAGGCAGCATTTTTTTTATTAATGTATGTTTCATTAAATAATACAGACAAGTTTTATCTATTTATTTTAAGTAAATTCCTTTCATATCGTCTGATAAGATTAATAACATTATTATTGAAAGACGAAAGAAAATCACCATATTGATACATGTTTTTTAATCCTATCTAAGCTTTTGAAAGTGATGTCTGAAGATCCAGAGAAAAATAAAAATCTCTGGTGAAATAAATTATCACAAATGGAGCTTTAAAGTGGTCTGTTTTTCTTTAAATTAAATTATTTGTTCTGAATTAACATTGAGCTCTCAGGAATTCGTCCTCCTTGGGATTATCCATATGGATTACCAAGATTTTCATTACTAAAATATATATATATATATATATATATATATATATATATATCAGGACTCCATGCACAAAAGTCATTGCTTTGTGGATTGCAGAATATGAAAGGTGTTACCCATTACAAACTAATGGAACATGGGAGGTTTACAGTCTGTAATCTGTGTAATGTGACATTTAACCCCTTCACCAGCATAGATGTGTATATATGTTTTTACCGAAAGTATCGTTTTCAGACATGGGTGAATAAACACGTCCAAAACATAATGTTCAAAAACCAGCTACAGATGTGTTTATATGTTTATCTGGATTCTTTTTATGCCCTCCTGACCTTGAAACAAATCCAATTGTCAACTCATCCATCTGGTAGAGGTGTTAACCACTGCTCAGATACTTCAATGTGCCTCAGTTTCTTAGTTACTATATTAAAAACAAAATTTTTTCTGAAAATCAAACGTTTTTCCCAAAATAATTGACAGGAAAGAGGTTAAAAATATTCAATTAAAACTTTGTTTTTTTTTTCCATTTTTGAGCAATGATATTGAAATTGCAAGATGTCTCAGTTTATTTTGATTACATTGGTTAATTACAAAAGGGTAAATTTGTTTGTTCTGATTAAGAATTTCCATACTTAAATTAATTAACAGTCAGATAAATCTGTATTTTCCAGGTCTTGAAATTGGAAAAAAATACTATCAACAACTGAACTAATTCAGCTAACATCATCCATATTAACACTGACATTTTATAGTTTTTTGTTCAAGTTTCATTAGCCCTGTTAGCAAGGCCTAGAAGAATCTGACTGTATCCAATGCAGAGGAGTAAATCTCCAACAAATGGGGCCACTTACCAGGTGTGCATACTTGTGGATTCAAGTGCAAACAACCAATGTTTGCCTATAGACTCAATTATAAGCACAACAATTGTTACCTATAAAGTCAAGTATAAGCACAACCAATGTTTGCCAATAGACTCAGTCAGTTATTTTACTCCACCGTGTTTCCCCATCTATAGACTCAAAATGTTTGCCTATAGACTCAATGTATAAGCAAAACCAATATTTGCTTATAGACTCAAGTATAAACACAACTAATGTTTAGCCTTGGACCCAAATCTTAACACAATCAATGTTTTCCTATAGAATTCAGTATAAGCTCAATCAATGTTGATTTATAGACTCAAGTATAAGCATAGCCTAAAGACTCAAGTATAAGCAAAAACAATGTTTGTCTATAGACTCGAGTATAAGCACAACAATTGTTACCTATAGAGTCAAGTATACGCAAAACCAATATTTACCTATAGACTTAAGTATAAACACAACAAATGTTTAGCCTTGGACCCAAATCTTAACACAACCAATGTTTTCCTATAGACTCGAGTACAAGCACAATCAATGTTTATTTATAGACTCAAATATAAGTATAACCTAAAGACTTGAGTATAAGCACAACAATTGTTACATAAACTCAAGTATAAGCAAAGCCAATATTTGCTTATAGACTCAAGTATAAGCACAACCAATGTTTTCCTATAAAGTCAAGTATAAACACAACCAATGTTTACACACAGACTCAAGTATGACAGTAGACTTAAGTATAAGAACAAATAGTGTTTCATAAGTAAAAATTTGTGAATAGTTAATTATACATATTTTTTAATGTCCTGCCCCTTCAGAATGTAGGCAGTCATGGTTTGCAACAGATTACTTTTTCTTTAATATCTGTGAATTGCCATGACATCTTGTGAAAGATAGTGAAGTGGTTTTCTATTGCTTTTTCTACAGTTTTGAATTCAGGGTTCCTGTCCTCCTGGATGAGGTACCAACCACGGCTAAAGAACCTTGATTACCTTGCTATTTAACTTTTAGCTGACAAAGAAAGGATGGATTCAGTCTTTTCCCATGAGCATCTGCGAGAAAGTCAATGCAACAGACAAAGACTGTAATTAGAACTTGCCTCACTGATTCCACTTCTAGCACTGATAACTGTTATGTTATTAGAATGTAATTGTTACAAGTCAGAATATGAAAACAGAAACTGAAATAATAAAAAATAATGCTGCCTAGTTGATGGAATAGCTACAGGATTTAAAATAGTGATCATTAGCATCTTGCTAAAAAAAAATCATTCCTTATTTTGTTATGAATGGATCAATAAGTCTGTAGTCTGATATGTAGTTATTAACTGTATTTTTTAGATGAAATTTTAATTGTATTAGTTGTTCCATGTGATTAATATTCCCTCAGTTCAGTTATGTGCCATGCATTATACATGCTTAGGTGATCATGTATCTTTCGATACATGACTGATTAGGCAGATTTTTTCCCGCAGTAGGTTGCCATTTCTTTCTGCGGTGGACCAGTTGCCATCCAAGACTATAGAACCCAGTCTGTCCTGCTATTTATCCATAGCTAGGGGGAGAAGAAGAGGATTCATACCTTTCCCAAGAGTATTAGCATGTAAGTGAATGTAATGGATTCAAGTGGAATTTGAACTCTGCTCTCTGATTCCTCAATCCTAGCCACTATCCACTACTCCACCATGCCTCCACTGATATTCACTACTGAATTAATTGCACTAGTAAGTTAACATGGAAGATTATACTGAAAAATATTCAAAATAAATATTTGTATAAAATTGATATGTCCCGGAAAAGGATATATTTGTTCAAAGTAGCAAAGTGGTTTTGGACTACTGTAACCAGGTAGGACAATCTAGCAGGTAACCATAATGGACTGGTTCTCGTTGTAATGGTAGGCAATAGGCGTAGTCCCTACCTCCACATCAGTCTGTATTTATGGCTGACACCAGCCAATCATATTACTGTCATGAGGAACCCAGGTGTATGCATATTCATTACATCAAAAATAAATGCTTTTTTTTTTTAATTTTTAGACTTCTGCATGCATTCAGTAGACTAAGAAAATAACTGTTGATTTTAACCCTGTGATAAGCTTCATTTCTGCAACTGAAAATGATATACAACCAGTCATGGACTGGGTCTAAAAATATTGGTTGCCAGGGGACAAAGGGGCTCACCTACAACTACAATGCTATCATTTAATTTTCATAGTGAATAAATAAAATTTTCAAAAAATATATATGGAAAAAAGGGTACAATTAAATTTTTTGTGGAAAAAAAAAGTGTATTTCTTTGCAATTACAGTGTACATGTAGTGTATATATTACTGGCAGTAGATGCCAAATGTAGATACAATGTTATAATTTAATTTTTTTTATTTTTCTTTAATTTTAATTGGTTGGTATTTTTAAATAGTTTACTGCACAAATTACACATTAACAGATAGCTGAAAAGTACAATATAGCACTGCATGCAATTCACTAAATTAAGAGCAATCATTTGTGTTTACTAGATGATTGTTTGAATATGCCAATAATTGCTTCTACATCCAATTCATCTAAAAATTCTTTTTTAATGGATAGCAACATGTATGATTCCAAATTCGCCTCAGAGAGTATGATGTTTAGCTTTGAAAATGTCTTCTAGTATTGGACATAAGTAACCAATGGTGTGCAGAAGACTTTATAAAGTTCTTGTTCCTTTTTATTGCTAAAACAATTGTCTGTATTTGTTTCCTTATTGCATTTTTATTTGATATAGGGAGCTCACTCCATCAGGGCATCACTTACCATTGGGAAAGCTAACACACTGGTTAGTTTGCCACTGTATATAATAAAGAATTTTCTGAGAAATAAGTAAAATTTGAGGAGATGGATAAAAGGTATATTCTATTTTCTGTTTTTATTTTAGGAATACATTACAGATCTTTGTCAATAAAAACATATAGGGTATAAACAAAAACAAATATTGGGGAGAGGAGGCACTAAAGAAACCAAACTATACAACTCACCAAATGCTAAAAGAATCCAGCCAATAATTCCAGCAATTCCAACTAAATAGATCCATATGAAATTCTTTCTATATCCTGGACACCATGGCATGCCTGGGCATTTAGTGCTAAACCAATGCATCCAACATCGGAAAAGGTACTGTAAAAAAGTTTTAAAAAATCAAGTTTTGTTTATATGCATTATTTTAAACAAATCCTTTTTCAGGCAAGATTTATATTTTAATTCTAATTATTATGTATGTATATCTAACAAAATTATTTAATTGATTTTTTCTATGGTTTATTAACCTTTTGCAGGTTATTTAAAGCCAGAACATATTTTTAGATTGTAAGAATTTCTTTTGGAGATAATAAATGATTCAGTGATACAAGTCTTACTAATTAAGCCATGGCTGGGAAGAGAAGTGGATTCATACCTTTCTCAAGGGTATTTGCACATAAGTGAATAAAACAAACTCAACTGGAATTGGAACTCGGCTCTCCAATTAACAATTTCAAGCCATTGTTCATTACACCACCCACACATCCATGCTTAGATCACTTAGTATTTCCAAGAGATCACCCATCTAGGTACTGACTAGACTTCATGTTGCTTAACTTCTGTGATCATATTGGAACCAGTGTCACAATGTGATGAGGCCATAAGCCTTTACAAAATTGTAAAAAACAAATACATGTAAGATTTGGCAAATTTTTTAAAACCATTTTTTGCATGCCACATTAACTATCTGAGTAAATTTTTTTTTTCTCCATAAATAAAATATTGTGACCAGTAAGATTGGAACAACAAACTTTACCTAACATCATATACAGAGCAAATATTTTCCACAAGTAAAAAACTGAAATATAATTAAACATTTTTAACCAATAAGACTTTCCCCACAGATGAGAAAAAAAACTAAAAGAAGCAGAAATGTGGTTCTACAGAAGAATACTGAAAATTTCATGGACGGAACAAGTAAGCAATGAGGAAGTCTTAAGAAAATGGCAACATAAAGAACGAACATTTAAAATAACCATGACAATGATAGTAGTAATTCTGAATTACTTTCTCATACCAATGAGATGCAAATACAAAAATACACTTGGCCCCTGGCCACTCAGTTGTTTATATAACACCGGAGGAGGTAATGTCCTTCAGTGGAAGTCCCCTATTATCAATGAGACCTTCCATTTCTACTTTACATACTCAAAATCAAGAAAAGACAACTGAAATTCCTTGGATGCATAATGAGGAAGGAGGGCTTGGGAAACCCTCACAGGGCATATTGAGGGCAAGGGAGATAGAGGAAGGCAGCAAACCATGTACCTGATGAGCTTGTTTGTACTGATGGAGGAAGAAAGGGGTAACAAAGGAAGAAAAACTGTTAAGAGTCACACAAAGTAGAAAGTTGTGGCGAGCCATGATCACCTGTCCTGATGGGATATAGAAGTATCAAAGAGTAAGACTTACAATTTGATTGAATTAATAAATAAATAAATAAACAGGAGGGCCGGCCTCCTTTGGATTTAAAAAGGGCTGCATCAGAAATCAAAAGAAAAATTATAGTATCAAAAAAGCAATTTATTTCATCTACAATAAAAAAAAAACTACTTGACCCCCTCAAAAAAAAAATATCATGGATATTAAATATAATTTCTACATTGTTTTACAAACGCCTGGTCATGCCACGTTTACCAAAACAATCTTGCTTCAAATTTAAAATTGGTTTTTCAAATTTGGCTATGATGACTCAACCCGGAAAACCAACTTTATTTTTTAGTAGATCAAGAAATTTTGTTCTATCAAACAGTAGATCCGACCTGTTTTACAAAAAAATGTTTTCTCAGAATATGAGTCCAGGTGAATTTTACAGATTCTAAATCTTATAATATTGATTACAAAAGTTGAATTATGTTTCATTGTTTTTATTAATGGAAAAAAGTGTGCTGAAAGAGGCCAGGTATAGAACATTGAGGAAGGTAAATCAGTGTTTGGTATGCGGAAATTGTTTCAAACTCGTCGATACCCAAGGAAGGATGTTTGGTTCGTCTGTTTACACTAAAAATGGAAGTTAATTTAATTAAAATTATTAAAATCATTAGTTCGAAAGAAATAGATGTTTTTTTTGTAGGCTAGAGAGATTCATTAATATTTTTAGTCATTTTTTTATGTCTATCATCCATGACCATGCTAAGTACATTTTGTTTTAAAATATTTTTTACAATAGTAGCTTGTTTTCAAAACCATAAAAGGTTAAGTTACTATTCGAAAGAAAATTGGTCTGAACGAGTCTTTTAAGACTTGTTACGAATGAATATTTGAAAGAATAGTAAAATTTTTAAGTGTCTACTCTCTAAAACTTTTAAACTGATCACATTTAAATTGATAAAACACTTTTGAAGAAAACAGCTTCTCGTTTCATCGGCTGAAGTGGATCAATCTTTATTCCATCCAGCCTATACGTTGGTTTGAAAGACAGTTTACAGTCCTGTTTAGGTTTTCTTTTAAAAATTATTAATCGAGTTTTTTTTTGTTTTTTTTCGGTGTTAAAGTGAAAAATCATACGCATTTAAACTTCGTATAACTACTTTCTCTTTTAAATATTCAAGCTTGTATTTTCAATAAAATGTTATTTTCGATTGTCAACTCAAGATGTTACTTTAAGATTATCATCGATTAAATCATAAATGTCAAAAAGCAATGAATTCTTATATTGTTAAAAAACTTAATTTATCACCTCAAAAAAATACAGAAACACACACTTACCTACACTACAATAGGTAACCGCACATAACAATCATTTGTTTTAGACTAATATTTGTAATTTGTTTGATAAATGTAACTATAAACTAAAATAAATTAGAATAAATTAAACAATTATTGAAGTAAATACATATACGTGCGTAACACCGCCTGTTCGCCCGACATTTTTTATTATCGGTGTAACGTTTTTATTTGTTTATGCTGAAACAAAGTTCCACTTTGTTTCATTTACGACTGTAATCAAAATGAACATAACGTGAAAAGAACAATAAAAAAAAACAGAAAAAGTTTGAAAATTTCAATGTTAAGCGCTTTATTTCAAACATTGTTTTTAGCTGATTGAATTTTTAAAAATGACTGAAAAAATAAAAATGAATTTAAGACAAAGAATTGTGTTTTAGTAAATGTTTTTTTTTAAATTCATATTATTTTGAAAGAAAAAAGTGAATGATTTCATTATTGCTTGAGCTTGAGTGTCGATAGTTGAGAAAACTAGTCGCGTGCTAATATGCACATCAATGAATATAACCGTTGGAATAGTCATTTTTTTTTTTTACTTCTCTTTTTATATTCCGATTTCTTTCTTTTTTCTAGTTTTTTTTTTTTACAGAATCATTGAAATTAAAAATGTTTAAAAACTCTTTCCTCCTACTTACATAGAAATTATGAAAAATTTGGTTTTCAGTATTTAAGAAAAAAAAAGTTTCATTCGTCTCCTCAAGACACGTTACTGCAGCTACCTGGGAAGATAATTTACCTGACCTCCCCACTAAAGCAGTAAATCCTCAGGTCTTCTATTTTTTTGTAGTTACTCACGATAAAGATCGACATTCTTGTGAACATGCAAAAAACAGATAGATATTTTAAATTCAACTGCTAGAGCTACTTCGTTGGCACATATGCGTATGGCGCTCCCCACGTTAAGGCGACATTCAGCCTTAGGCCGGGTGGCAACAATTATCTATCACCAGGACATATTTTCTTTCAAATAAACACTAACAACGGTCAAAATGGGAATTTTGATTACAATATTTTTAAATGATTAATTAATTAAATTAATTTCAGGATAATTTATAATTTGATCCGAGATTTTTTTTTAAATACACTAAAGTACGAACGAAGTTCTAAAACTTAAATCGAACACTTTTTAAAATTCTGACAAACTGATTCGGATATTTTTTTTATTTAACATTTAAAAAAATAATAAAACTAAAAGAAATTTCCTGACTTTTTAAAATTCGAGAAAAAATGTAATTCATACAGAAGTTAACAGAAAAAAAGTTTTCCCACTGTTAGCCGTGCATAAAATATTTAGAGATGTTACTTTTAAAAAAAAACGTCTCCTTCAGAAAATTATTAGACAATGAACATATTGCTAAGTAGGTCTGTCGAAAAAAAGTTTTTTAAGTAAAATAAAATGATGGTATGAAAAGACAAAAGGTGAAAAAACTAGTGTTTTTTTGCATATAAAAATTTTCAAACTGCTTAGCTTAATATAGTCAAACAAAATTAATCACTGTGATGTAAAAACGCGAGATTGAAAAAAAAAACCTAAAGCACGTTAGGATGATATAATCCGTTAGGAAATTAGTTTTAAAATCTTCTCTTGTTGCTTGTTAATGCAACAAACTTGTCCAGTTCATCCCAGACTAAGCAGACTCATCCTTTTTTAATTAAGGAAGTTTATTTCTATTATTCAAAACCTTTACCAATATATCATCTGATCAAGTTCTCTAATTCCCGTGTTGTTTAGTAACAGGAGTCTATTTCAACAGCATCAATTCAGGTATGAATCCTAACCAAGTTATGCCGTATCAATATTCCGAACCCTGGATACGGCCTTCTCCTCTGTACCCAGGACCACATTTGATGAACAATGGAGTCACTCCCCAGTTTTATTGCGATAACACTAACCAAGTCGCTAATTTCATGTCCTATCCTCAAGCAGTGCTTAACCCGTTCGCGTCAGTGAACACTAATCAAAACATTCACCCCTACCCAAGAAGACAGGCCTTGCTGCAGATCGTGGACCCAAACACAGGAAAGAATATTCTTGATGACATCTTGAACAAGCCTGCCGAAGATGGTTCCTCCTCATCGAACGTGTTGCAGGCTGAAGACACAAGATGCCAGAATGAAGAGAACCTCAGTACAACCCCCCAGCAAATGATGATGATGCCAGCACAGCACTCCGTTGCACCATGGCCTCAAGATCTTTGTCAGCAACTACAGCAAATACCGGACACTGGATCACCACCACAACAACAGCAGCAACTGCTTGAGCCAGTTGTTGTTCAAGTGCCTGTCGTTGTCTATCTTAGAGGTCCAGCTTAAGATGCAGTCGGACTTGAGCCATGTGAACATTTGTACAAAATATGGGCACCTCTTTTTTTCGTAATATTTGTTAACTATTTGCAGATTTCTAAATATTTGCATGCGTAAATTTGCAGATTTCACAAGTTTGTAAGTTTAACATCAAAACTTAGATCCAATATTTTTTGTAATTAATTATTACACACATGTATATATTTATTTTTAATTATATATCACCAAAAAAATATATTACAACAAAAAAACTAAATCCAATTATTTAAAGACTATTTTTAATTTTCCTGGTGCACACACACACACACACACACACATTACCTCAAAATGTAGATCCAATTGAATCATCATTATTTTATATGACATAAAACTGGATTCATTTTCATCACACACACACACACACACACACACACACAAACATTGCATCAAAACTTATTTGTAATTATTGCAAGAAAAATTATATCAAATATTCAAACATAGAGAAATATTATTTATTTTATAGATTCTTAAAAGGAATTTTCTATGATATTCAAGAAAATAATTTAAATATTGTTATAATTTTTTTAACATATTTTCACAATATAACAGAATTTAATGCACAGGCAAAAATGTTTGTTTCCTTTGAGATATTATCCCCAACAAAAAAATGTTAGAATTCAATTGAAAAATAACATTGTTTCATACATTGTTGCTAAAATTTAAAATTTGTTCCTTCTTTTCTTTAAAGAAAGAAAGTAGAATAAGAAAAAATAAAAATAAAGGAACCATCTTCTAATTACAATAAACTAGTAATATAAAACCTTTGATTAAATTGCTTTTTATTTAAAATAGACAGTTTTACATCTAGGGATCCCCCCAAAAGAGAATTCTTATAAGGTATGGATACAAAATTTCATTTGTCTCTTTATTGATAGATGCTAAAATTAAAACTCACATGTTCCTTATGAACACATTGTATGAAATACATTCTTTTGACAAATGTTTTTGAGTAATTATCTATAATTAGCAACTTAAAATAAATTCTATATAACAGCAAAGATTTTTTAATCTGCTACTGTGGAATGCAATTAATTCTGTTGCTTTTCGTGTAATTTATAAATAAATAGCAATAGGTTTCTTTTATTCAATTAGTTAATTGCTTTGATATGATTTAAGTTCAGGTTGTATAATTTCTATTAAAGTCTATGTAGACATTTTCAAAAGGATTTTAAAAAAATATTCTTTGATGGACAAATATTTCAGTGCTTTTTTTTTCAGATAATTTCTGTCAGAAGGTTGCTAATATATGAACAGAAAAGTTTATAAATTAATGCATTCTATTTATTATTATAATCGTTATTCTCCATTGGTTACTGCATTCCTGGTTTAAAATCAATATGGAAGACAGTCACTGGAAATAATAAAATGAACAAGTCTTGTGTTCATAAATCAACAGGCTACTGTCACTGAAACTCATTTACTGATTGAAATTTAAGTAAACCTGATTATTTTAGTTGGGTAGATGCCAGTCGTGGAGTGAATGTTCTTATTAAAAGTAGAACTTGAAAGTATGAAATGCAAATTATCAAAAAAAACAAAAAACATAAAAAAAACCCCCAAAAAACAAAAAAGAAATCAACATCCAATCAAATAAACATTATAACAAGAATTAAAAAAAAATTACTAGCTACACTCTCACTGTAATACCATAGGTCTTATAGTAATATTTACTATTAATCTTAATATTTTTAACCAATTGTATGGTATTTTGAATACTTTGAAACAGTTTTTTCAATGACATTAATATATACATTATTTTGAGGTGCCCTATAATGAGACATTTGGTTATGTCTTAAAAATCTTGTACCAAACTGCATGTGCTTATGCAATCAGAAACAGTAAAACTTTTACTATCAAATACTGTGGTTTTCTTTAAAGTCCAATTAATTAATCAGCAAATGTTGCAGTTTTGTTTTTCGTTACACAACTTACACGGTTATAGTTCTATTTAATTTTTTTGTGTGTTAAAATAAAAAAAAAATAAATCTAATTTGACATTCATTATGCATTTGTCTATTTATTTCAATCTTTATTTTTTTGCAAACAGACAATCCCTGCCCACTTGGGTTGATTACCTAATCTGTTACTTTTTTTTTTTTTTTATCTCAAATTGCTTCATCTGTCCCAACTCCTTCTCCAATATAATTCTCTCTTCTTCATGTTGACCTCGTTTACCTATTCAGAATTTATGCCTTCCTCACTCAAAAAAAAACAGATTGCAAATATTAATATTAATATTGTGTGGGTGTGTTTGAGAAGGTATTAAAAGTTCTCAGCCAAATACTGCAGAATTTTGGGAGAAAAGATTTCTTGATCAGGCTGACAACTTTTCAGCATACTCTTGTGTGAATATGGTCGGTTATTGAATGGTAAAATAAAAAATCCTATGTGACATGTTTCATCCTTCAAAAGAACTTCTTCCGACTAAATAATGTTTAAAAACATTTGAAGGATGAAATATGTTACATAAGAATATTTTCCTTTTAGTCATTCAATTACCCACTATTAGCTTGATATATAGAGTTTATACATCATATTCCCTCATAAATATGTATGTATATATATATATATATATATATATATATAAGATTAGTATAAATATAAAATTGGTCACTTTGATATTATATTCAGCACCCTGACTCCAGAGTTTTGTAGGCGAACCATTTTCATAATCGTTCACTCCAGTTGTCAGGAAGTATAATATATATTTATATCGCTTTAAACATTATATTTGGTTGATATCCATATTTGAGTAAATGATCTTTAAAACAGTATTTTATTTTTGCCTACCACTTTGAATA